AATTTGGTTTTTGTTAGTTGTCTGTGTTAGTGGTGAAGTTCTTGCTCAGTTTTATTTCTGATTCTACTCTATGTAATTTAAAATTTTTTACCTCCCAAAGCTTTTTTTTAAAAAATTATTTATTTATTTATCTGAGAGGCTGAGTTAACAGAGAGAGAGAGAGACAAAGACAGATCTTCTTCCATCCTCTGGTTCACTCTCCAAATGGCTGCAACAGCTGGAGCTGTGCCGATCCAAACACTTGGACCATCTTCCACTACCAGGCCATTAGCAGGGTGCTGGATTGGAAGTAGAGCAACAGGGACTCAAACTGGTGCCCATATGGGATGCTGGCGTTGCAGTCAGGCTAAACCTACTGAGCCACAGTGCCAACCCCTCTCTCAAAGCTTTTATTTGTTGTTGTTGTTGTTGTTTTCTCCCTAGTATTGTTTCTTACTTTAGTCACATTTTTCCCAAGATTTATTCATGTTTTTCCAAGATTTTATATATAGCATCATACAACTTTGGAATTTGTTATAATTCTATTTAAATACAGTTGAAAGAATGTTAGATTTTGTTCTTCAAGATAGTAGCTACATATAAACTTACAGGTATTTTTGCAGTGTGTATTTGAAAGTATAGAAATATTTTAATGTTCATGAAGTCAGAATTCCTCTTTAAGGGGGTAGGAGGGCTTAAGTGTTGAAAATAGGCCCCAGGGTTTTTTTTTTCTTTCTGTCTTTCTGTCTTTCTTTCTCTTTCTTTCTGTCTTTCTTTCTGTCTGTCTTTCTTTCTTTTTGTCTGTCTTTCTGTCTGTCTTTCTGTCTGTCTGTCTTTCTTTCTGTCTTTCTTTCTGCCTTTTTCTGTCTTTCTTTCTGTCTTCCTGTCTTTCTGTCTGTCTTTCTTTCTGTCTTTCTTTCTGTCTTTCTGTCTTTCTCTTTCTGTCTTCCTTCCTTCCTTCCTTCCTTCCTTCCTTCCTTCATTCATTCCTTCCTTCCAACTTTCTGTCTTTCTGTCTTTCTGTCTTTGCTAATACTGAGAGTATCTGTCTCCAGAGCAAGGATCAACAAGATTTAGCTGTTCCTTCTCATTGTCTTATTACCAACTTCTCACCCCCACAAACCTTACCCCAACCCTTTCTCCTCTGTAGTATTGGGAGACAAGAGGGCCATAGTGATTTATTGGAAAGTGGTTTTTTTTCCTCCCTCCCCTCCCCTCCGCTCCCCTCCGCTCTCCTCTGCTCTCCTTTCTTTGAAAGGCAGACAAAGAGAGAGAGGTCTTCCATCAACTGATTCACTC